TTATTATTATTAAATGAGATGAATAGCGTACCTATGTCAGCCTGGAATAGGTTATCCTTCACGTTGCTCTGGCACCAGCGGGAAACTGTGTCATTAGACGCTACATTTGGCATCTTTGCGGTTCTGCTTATACAAACAACAGCCGTATGCATCATCAGTTTATTACCAGGGAGCACGAAAAGAAATAAAATCAACTCTTAACTGATGAGCTTCGGTCTCGCCAGAGTCATATCTCGCTGACGGAGACAATTTATTTCACCATACATTCTCGGTTTGCGTGAAATATGAACTTCTGTAAAACGATACGTCCGCGAAATTATTTTACCACTTGGCACACAGAAATATATCGGAGAAATTTGGGTGAATTTATTACGACTGGGATTGTACTGAGCTGCCATGGCATCTTGATGTCTATGTGCAGCCTGGTAGTTTACCATTTCATTCGCTTGGCTGGTATTTTATAATTACATAGATGATATGGTGGCACTGGTGCTTTATAATTACATATATGGTGGGGTCAGTTTTGACGTATGGATTTTTAAGTAATGAAGAATTAAGATGCTTACACTGTTACATATTTAGTTAGGTACCTACTTTTAATAAATGGGTGCTGTAAATGTTTAGTAATAACTTTAATAAAACACAAGCTGAAGAAAACAGAGCTCTAAAAAGTTTCAGCTTTAATTTTTTTAACGTATTATTATTTACAAAGCTATTAAAACAATAAGTATAAACGTCACTTACAAAAAATAACACATAACAGGGTCTTTTTTGTCTTCATCTTCAGAAACTGGGAATGTACGACGTTTCTACTGGTTATCCATTTTGAGCTTGGGATAGTAAAGCCCTGCCAATTGATATTTGTCAAATGTCACTATCATCCAGACTGGTGTTTGTTTAGTTAAAGGTTTGCCATTTCACAATATGGAACGTTTTACGACCGAACAAGCGTTAAAATTATTAAATTATGCTACGAAAATGGTAGATCTTCGGTGGCTGTATTTTGCGCATTACGCGGTGACTATGATTGATATAATCGTCCATCCCAGCAAACAACCAGAGAAAATTCCAAGAGACTGGATCGGTAACAGACATCGTAAGACCTGTGCATCATCGTTTGCCCGTTCAACCGAAAACATAGCAGCTGTGAGTGGAAGTGTTAACGATGACCCGAATCTTTCGACTCCAAGTCGAGCTCAGCATTTGGGCCTGTCATACGGCACATTGTGGCGCATTTTGCATTTGGACTTGCATCTTCATCCAATTAAAGTTCAACTCCCGTAAGAACTCAATCCGGCTGACCATAGATTGCGCCGTGAGTACACCAATTGGGTGCTAGAACAACAGACCATCGATCCTGATTTTTCGAGGAAAATCTTCTTCAGTGATGAGGTCCATTTCACGCTCGGCTGCTATCTTAATAAGCAAAATTTCCAAATCTCGGGTTGTGATCAGCCACAAGTGACCGCTAAAAGACCATTGGACCCGCAAAAAGTGACTGTTTGAGGTGCATTGTGGGCCGGCGGCCGGCGTCGTCGAGCTGTACTTCTTCGAGAACGACGAAGGAGCCACCGTTACCGTCAATTCTCAGCGGTATGCCGCCATGATCCTCGACTTTTTTTGGCCTGAAATTGAAGATTTTGATCTGGACGATATGTGGTTTCAACAAAATGGGGCCACATGCCACACAACGCAGCCAGTTATGGCTCTATTGCGCGAGAAATTCCCAGTACGCGTAATTTCGAAATTCTACGATTTAACGCCTTTGGATTTCTTTTTGTGAGGCTATGCGAAAGACCGTGGTTATGCGAATAATCCCACAACTTTGGAGTAATTGAAGGACGAGATACGTCAAGTTATGGCCGAATTATTGCCCGAATTGTGTGAAAAAGTCTTCTAAAATTACCTCAAAAAGATTGTCCTGCAAACGGTTCCGTGGTGGACATTTGAATGATATTGTTTTTCACGCATAATGGCATAGTCCAAACTTTATTATGAAATAAAAGTTCCATCGTTTAAATATTCAATGTGTTTTTTTAAACTTTACTTTCCCAACGAGAACCCGTTATTATAATCAGTTTATGCATAAATTTGAGGTTTTACAACGGCTTTTACAAATGTGTTTGTTGCATTTGTCACATATAACAGAATGTTTATTGGCATTATATTGAACATATTGCTCTCTTAGGAAGTCATTGTCAAACCGATTGCTGAACTTGAACATCGTCTGAAATATTTCCTATGCATTGAACAAGTCGTTATAGCGAATGTTACCCATGTGAGAAGGCTGGATTAAATGCTCTCGTGAGTTCTCTGCTCAAACTTATCATGAAATAGTGGCGAACTAATTATTTATCTGTATTAGCAGAATTGTATATAGTGGTCGCATTTATTGCAGGAATATTCATCATTACATACCAAATAGCACATATTGGCTCCTACATTTGTCATATTATATAATAATATCATCACTTTCATTTGTCCAGTTTCTACCAGAGTATTATGATACATCGACGAATTTAAGCAAACAGATCTGCTCTTTTGTTGGGAAGGAACTTTTAGGGATCTTCTCGTTTATTCTGCTTCGTGGTGCGTACATACGTTAGCTTCTGATACTGTAGTTAGTTAAGAAAAAAAATCAACAAGATAGCGAATAATATGTATTTACAAAAATGTATCTAAATTTGTGATAGCCGATTAAAAACATTTTATTAATTACAAATATATTTTCAATATATATTAGCAATTTATTCTTTTGATTATAAAATATTGTAATATACAGTTAAATCTTAAGGATTTTGATATCAAGAACTAGGTAACATATATATGCTTAATTTATTTATTTTATGATGCATTTTTTTCCAAATATAGATAAGTATAAAGCTAAGATACAAAAGATACAAACATTGATGCAAATTAATCAACCGTTTATAATATATTGGCTGTGGTGTGGAAATAAATTTAAATTTTATTTGAGGTTTGATCAAAGCATAATCCTCTCAACAAGGCGAATGTGTCAACCTTGTACTTCATACGGAAGGTGCTAAATTTGTATGCCTTCTACTTACAATTAGAAAATGTGCTCGAATTTCTACTACTTTCCAACTCAGCTTAGAACTGAAACTGAACACGATCAAAACGTGTTTTTTTACTTTGTTGTCAGTTGACATAAAATTAAAACTATGGACAATGTTTCAACATACAACTTTAAGCTTAAAGTTATAAGTTCTTCATTTTCTGTCAGGTACACAATCTATTTCAAACAAATACCAAATTTCATATAAGCTCTGGAACTTTTCAAAGGAAATTATCTAATATCATATTTTCGCCTCAAAGAAATCGATGTTGATTTATTTTGTTATGCAAACGAAACCCAATTTATTAATTCCCCTTTTCATTTATAGGGTTACCAGCACAAAATCACGTGTACATATTAATTTGAAACATGTTTATGATGTAGATATTTTTGATCAATTTAATAAATACAGGGTATTTCACCATTCCGTGTAGATGAGGTCCAAATAGATAATTAAACTTTAAAAAATATGTTTCTCAAATAACTTTCTAATTTTTCGCAATTGGCAACGAAAGTAATCTAATAGGAACGCAATAATTTTTTGATTAAATTACGTTTTATTGAAATCGGTGAAAGAGGCTGAGTTTTCTCTACAAAGCACAATTTGTATCGTTTGTGATGACTGATTAAACAATTAATTGCAAGAAAACCATTAGAAACACAATAAATTACTAATGGAAAATAACTTCAAGTCCTTATTTTGATGATAAAACAAGCCCACAAAAATCAATCAAATCAAAAGTCAGTAAATGACTGACTATTCATAAATTCTGACATATACAATTTCATTTAAAGTGGATAAAGGCGTTATTGTGTTATTTGGAAAAAAAAACTTTTTTGAGCGACTAAATGAAGCAGTTTGGATAGTGATAAGTTTGCGTAAACCATTATATATTTACCACAAAAAAGGTGCTGCATCAGGATGATTTGAAAATTATCCAAAAAAAATTAGGGGGATGTGCAACTGGTCTAAACAGATGTGAATGCCATAGAAAAAAAATTACGTCATTGGAAAACTGATTGAAGCAAGAACTTGTAATCAACTGAGCAATAGCGCGGCAATAAATATCCATATTCTATTAACAGGCATAGACATTCCAGTAGATTTAGGTAAACCTATGGAATAAACTGCATATTAATAAAGATTTTTGTGCTGGGAAAGGATTAATGTTTTGAAATAACTCAGATTTAGTAAATATACATTTCTTGGGCCACTATGTTTAGGTTTAAGTAATACATCACTCTTTTTGACTATATCACTGTAGCAATAATGGAATCAATTTTAGTTCATCGCTTTTTAGGTCCAAAAATTCTTAATTGATTTTTAATAACCGATAGTATACTTGCTTCAAGGTTTTTAACCATTACATCAGTCTTCACTATCTTAGATTGGTGTTTATGTTCACAAGGCACATTATAGAAAAGAAGACACGTCAAATATAGTGCAAAGATTGGCTTTAATAGATTTAAGAGTCAATAAGGAGACATAAATATGTCTACTTTTATGTTAAAATCGTCATGAGTTGCGAGTTTCGTATTATATAAGAATAAAGTAAATAAAAAACGGATTACCATACACACGCGCCGAGGTTGTTATACTTGTATAAGTTAAGAATTCATTCATCTTTTTTTTTCAGAGACCTGTCATACACCGCCATAACGTTTCTGCCTACTGAAGGTCTTCGAGAAATTGATATCCTCAAAGTTCAAAATACGAAGTCGCTAAAAGTCTTCCCTTCTGTATTCAATTTTCAGGTAAAGTACAAGTAAATTAATATACGAGAAGGTATTTTTTAAATTTTGTCATGGATTGGCATATATTAGCGAAGTTGGGTAAAATTTTTAGAGCAATTAATGGCTATTTTAAAAATAGGAGTATGTAATCAGATTTCTAAATATTCTTATAAAAAACTGCAAACAATTGAATTTTTTAATGTGAACACATTATTTATAAAATAGTTTTATATAGAATTTATTGTCATTGGGAAATGTACAACAGATTTTTTTTAATTCCAAAGTAAGTTATAATAATATGTTACAAATCTTTAAAGATAATGATAAAAACATAATTAGTCACGAAATATGATATCTGAACTATTTTTGCATTTTGAGATTGCTTTTTAAAATGGAATTAATCGAAGTATTATTGAATATTAAAATACACAAACATTCGCGTAGAAATAAGCAGAAATGTTTATAAGAGGTGTCCCAAAAGTAACGCACGATTTGAATTGTGCGCCATTCCGAAGAATTGGCGGCATTGTGAAGGGTCACATGTTGTAGTAAACAGGTTGCGGTTCGACAAAATGGCGGATAAGCGAGTGAATTTTGGTAGAAGGGACGCGGAACAATTTGGCTTTGAACACATTAGGTTGTAAACAATAAAAAAACTGGCCGTTCAGCCGAAAATGTTGCTACGGTGAGTGATGGTGTGGCGGAAATTACCCTAACCTCAGTGCGTCGTCGGTCACTGCAACTAAACATTTTAGAAAGCACAATGCAGCGGATTTTAACAAAAGATCTTCATCTGCATCCACTCAAGATTTAGCTAACCCAGAAATTGAAACCAAACGACCATTTAATGCGCCGGACATTCATTGATTGGATGTTGGAAAATACACATGTGAACGGTGATTTTGGGGCAGAAACAATCCTCGGGTCATTCAAGAACGACCAATGTATAGCCAAAGAGTGACAGTGTGGCGTGATTGATCTGTTCTTTTTGGAAAATGAGTTTTCATAACCTTCACTCGCTCATCCATCCAGATTTATATGAAAAAAAAAAAACAATTTACATTTGTCAGAATAAAGGCGCAGGATAATTTCAAAATACCAGTAAATTCTGTTAATTTACAACAATCCTGATTCTCTGAAAATAAAAATAGGGTAGGAAACGGTAATCACATATTTTCTTTAAAAATTGTACGGTGCATAATATGTACTTAACAAATTTAGTATGGAACGGTTACTAAATTACAAAAATAATAAATTTGCTACTTAACCCAAAACGACCGCTGTGTACAGAACCCGTTGCGAGTATATCAACAGACTGAATTATTGAATAGGATGATTGCGGGAGAGATATCGCATGAGGGCGCACGCTGCAGTATTTACTATTTTGCCTCAATCATCAATTGTGTTACAGTTATGTAATGAGATACGTGCACGTATATTTTAATGGCATACATGTACCCATTATTTTGTATTTAGTTCAATGGCTAATTTCTCTTTCATGTTAATAACTGTGTAATGACACTGTAATAACTGTTCGCTAAAGAATTTTGGACGTGATTTATATTATCGACAATTTTATTAAGTTTCTATCTATACTTTTCAACAACTTTGGGAAATGTTTGTCTACGTATTCAGTATAGAAAAAGTTTAAAACATTTTCAATATCAATATCGTTTAAGATAAACCAGTATTTCTATTGATAAAGGAAGTAAATTTGTAAATAGATAACACGAGAAAAATTCTTCTCATCAACATTCTATTTTTTCTACATTGCTGTACGTAGAAGAAGGTTTCCTATACAAATCCGTCTAAAAATATAAGTTGCCATAAAAAAATAAAAATTAATGAGTGAATCATCGCTTGAAAACAAATCACGCCCAAAAATAACTCCTCGTTTCCATTTAAAGAATTTATCCCATACTTTTGAAACGTCCTGTGTGTTTTCTAAATGGATATAGATTTAGGGCACAAGCTTTGTGTCTGCAAAAAGCATGCAAAAATGCTGTAGACAAGTGCCATTAGTGTACAATAATTTTTTTATGAAATCGTTCGGAAATGTGTACTAAAATAGTGTTATATTGCAGTTTGTATACAACTATTAAACATTGGCTGAACTTTACTTGGCTACATTGATGCTGTTAATTATTTCTTCTTCGACAATATTATTCTATTAGCAAATATCTCTTTGTATCTCCCCCCTTCTGAATATTTTATCTGCTATGTCTAGTTTATTTATAAAATATTCTTCTATGTATCCTTCGGTAAACGCGTGAAAGATTTGTCCTGCGTATTTATTTGCATTTGTCAAATTTTGAAAATTTGAGACATTTTATGATGTATTCCTATTATTTGCCTAAAACTTTTCCCATTTGAATATTTAAAGAAAAAACGGCAACTTTCAAAATTTTCTGGGCGGCATGCAACATATTTTCTGTACAGTGGCATATAAGTTTCATTTATCACAAATGATCTCGTTTTTTTTTCATTTTATTATCCGGTATTACAATCAAAAGCTTTAATCATATCTTTTGAATGAGTTAATTTTTTATAAAACGTCGAAACACGTTAACTGATTTTGATTTTTTCCTATTTTTCGGTTATATAATAATTAATTTTTCTTCAACCCCCTAACCCCCAGCTACCCCTACTTTTTTTTTCAAATGGAAACATAAGGCATGAGGGGGCTCGTTGAAAAGCTTATAGAAAACCGAATCCAGATACCAAATAAACAAGTTTTATTTTT